GTATGTTAAGGCAGGAAGGACTGCAGAATCGAAAAGGTGGGCACGGAGCCTCGATATTCTTGTACGCTCCCCAAGCCGCTCGTTTCCTCCTGCTCAGCTCTGGAGCTAGATCGTTCATCATATTGATTTCCCGACCTAGGTACACGTAGCTGGAGCATTCGGTGATGTTCGTTCCGTTGAGCGTGAATGGGGCATCAGGAACCAATCCGTTTCTCATAAACATCGTCTTCGTTAGGTTCAGCTGCAGACCGACCTTACCACAGGCGCAGTCGAAATCAGCCAGCATTCGCTCCGCTTGCTCGATGTTCGGCGTTATAAGAACGATGTCGTCAGCAAAACGAAGGTGGTGTAGTTGCCGGCCGTCGACCTTCACTCCCATGTCTTCCCATTCCAGTTGACGCATGACGTTCTCGAGAGCGGCGCTGAAGAGTTTGGGCGAGATGGTGTCGCCCTGTCGAACCCCTCTCTTGACGTCGATGATGACCTCCTTGTAGAATGGTGAGATTCTGGTCGTAAAGTTGCTGTAGAGCTCACGAAGAATCTTGATGTACTGAGTAGGGACGCCCTGGTTGCCCAAGGCTTCGATGACCGCTTCTGTCTCCACAGAGTCGAAGGCCTTCTTCAAGTCGATGAACGTGAGACAAAGCGGCATCTTGTACTCTCGTGAAACTTCAATGAGTCTTGTAACCGTGTGGATATGGTCGATCGTGCTGAACCCTCTTCGGAACCCTGCTTGCTCGCATGGCTGTCCTTCATCTAGTATTCTGCCGATCCTGTTAAGGATGACTCGAGTGAATAGCTTGTAGATTACAGACAGCAGGCAGATTGGGCGATAGTTGCCAATGTCGTCCAAGTCTCCCTTCTTGTACAGCAACACGGTCCTGCTGGTTTTCCACGGAGTGGGTACCTTGCATTCCGACAGGTAGCGCGTGAAGAGTCGAGCCAGAGTTTTGATGATAACTGGCGGTGCGTTCTTCAGATGTTCCGGTTTAACCCTGTCGAGACCGGGTGCTGTACGATTCTTCACCGACTTGATGGCGTGTCGGACTTCGGAAGAGAGAACTGAGGGGACGACGTATCCATCCTGTTGCAGTTGATAAGTGGGCAGATGGACATGGCTATCGAAGAGATCCGAGTAGAAGTCGTGGATGACTTTCTCCATTGCCCTTCGGGATGCAGTAACTGTTCCATCCGGACGTCGGAGGCAGGTCATCTTGGTCTTGTAGGATATTACGTATAAACCCTAAGCGTAGCTGTGTAACTGCGTACTACGTACCACTGCTACCGTAACCCACACCTAAATTTATTCAGTGCAGCCTTTATGCAGCTGTCTGTATCTACCAATGTAATATGCATCCATTCTGTTCATGTTGTTTTTTCTTCGCTTTCTATCGCTGTTACTACCTGTGGCGAGAATTTCGCGGCGAAATGCTGATCTAAGAAGTCTCGTTTCAGACATGCAAGACGGGGAATCAAGTGCAAGTGGAGAATGTAAGGACAAACAGGAATGGAGGACGAGACTTCCTCTGTCAAAAATTGAAAACAAAGATATCAAGAAATTATCAACTAATGGTATGGGCAAAGCTCTCACCTGGAGATGAAGTAAATCAAGGAAAGACGACACGGACTGAGTTCACAATTCACGGTAATCTTTTCCTTCTTCTCATTCACTGATTTCATCACGTGGGTTAAGTATTTTCCTAGAGGTTATGTTCTTAATGTTAATTTTGTTATCCATGCACTTATTTTTGTCAATTCGAGCTCACCTCCTTACTTTGGGGCAGTTTGTCCTTCACCTTTTCTTCCTCCATGCCATGGAAATTAGGTTCAGGTTTAATCTCGCGAGCTTGTTGTATTCCGGTAAAATTATCATAGCAGCTGTCGCTCATCAGCGTTGAGTGGCGCTTGGAAATTTTGTAGGAGAACCATATGCCGCCCTTGCGACGACTGTTCAGTCAGCCGGAGATCGGGCAAGTGTTAGAAGAAGTCAATGACATTAGGAAGGTATTGGCTGAGGTGAGTATCTAGAAAAGCTTGATTTCACGAACGGTATTCTAGATGTCCGATTTGGGATGGTGCTGTGCGACTGATTTATACGAATTATAAAGGAACTTCGAGAGAAAGTAGCTCTCTGTTGCGAAGGTCTTTCGTAATCATCGGCTTCTGTGCTGTGATGCGATTACCCACCTTTTTCTCATTTCAAGTCATTTTCACTTGATTCCACTTGCTGGTTTGACTACTCGGGCATACTTTGATACCGACAGCACTTGAAATAATGGGAGAAGGTACTATTAGATTTTATACTAGGTGAAATTCCATGTTATGTGATATATTCTAGACACTTTGAGCGTGGAAAGCTGCTAGCTAAGTGGTGTTGTTTCGCTCGAGGACGTTCCAAACGAAGAGGAGACGAGAACATTGAAAATGAACAACACAAATAACAATTTTATTCTTCTGATAGCCTCTGTATTAGGAAGACATGCAATAAAAATTCTGCAATAAAATAAGAATCAAGATGAATTAGCAATTGAATTGACTTCTGAATTTCATAAAGATTTCTTTCCAAAAGGTCACGACATGAAATATAATCGCGGATAGATCCTGGTTCTCTGAAAAGTCCCTCGAGAGATGCTAATGCGGCAGCGACGATATGTACGAGTGGGATCCATTGACAACACGCACAATGGCCTCCCGGATTCTAATGACGTTGGACGATAGAGCATTAAATATAACACATAAAGAATATAGCATGGAAAGAAACAATTAAGCTCAAGAAGACTGCAAACCCGCGACTACATTTATTGTGGCATTGACTGGACTTTACTTGATGAACCTTGGCGATGGAGTTGTAGGGAAAAGTGATCTCATATGGCGAACTTCCTCATGTAAATCTTTCGCCCTCTGCTTTTTGGGTTTCTTTATTTTTGCTCTCTTAAAAGCCAATATGAGCGAGAGCATAGCAGCAAGAAGAGCACAAATATAGACATACCGGCAATAACTCCACACATTTGATGTGGTCTAGCTCCGTCCCTGTTTAGTTCGGGCCTCGGCGCAAGCTGAGAAAGAGGCAGTTGACATGTATCTGCTGCGAGCTTCATGAGTCCTAGGATCTGGTCGAGAATATCCAGGGCTTCATTCGAATCAGTTTTGGCGCAGCAGTTGAATTAAAGGCGATTCCGCCTTTAATTCAACTGCTGCGTAAGTCTGAAACATTTTAAATTCACAAAGGAAAGGGTAAGTTCAGGTTGCTGGGAACTTACTGTTATGATTTCATGAAGCTTTTGATATCGCTGCTCTCGGCGGCGTTGAGAGTCCGCATTTTGTTGATCCGCAGGATCTTCAGTACAAGACCCCAATTCTGAAGGTTCTTCTAGCATTCCCACTTGATTAGCCTCTGCAACTTCGTTCAATTCAGCAAAGCCATCTGGCTGTTCCACTCCATGGCCATGCATTTTCACCGCGTGTCGATGAATACAGTTCACACCTGCCCTTTTATCAAGACATGTGCAACTCCAAGAGTACGGGCAAATGTTACACATTGGGCAATGCACATTAGCCTGCAAAGCGAAAGTTCTGTGCTTTTTAAAATTCGTTTAAACATCTATAAAAGTACCTTTGCGTCACAAAAACAATCGCTTGTCCGTAATACAGTAAAATTTTCGTTGTCATTACAAGACGCGACGAGAAATTTATTATCCTGTAGAGGATTTTCCATGTTTCATTGGCGTAATACTTCTCAGCTAGCCGATGGGTTTTGATGGACTCCATACATCGAAATGAGCTTTTCACAAAGCGTCTGCGATCCTGAAAACGAAACACCTCCGTTCAACCCACCCATTCCGATGAAACCAACACCGTACCATGATCTCAATCGCATTCGCTTTTTCTGTAACCGATCGAATAAGTAATTCGATGAGGCAATCGATGCGGCAATTTGAATTGCGATGTAAGATATCCTCCTTTAAAATGCGATGCCAACGCTCACTTATCATGGTTGTATCCATGATCGCTCCTTTACTTCTGAAGGACGCCCA